CCTGTAAATGTAATCAAAGGAACCTGGCTGGTTGGAGAAAATTTGAGCCCACGATTCTGACTGGGATTGGATTGGGCATCACTGGGTATTGCTGTGCAGGTTGATGAAATTATTTTGGATCAATAGCCAAAGTTGCGTAAATCTCTTGTTTACCTTAGCCTTTCACTGATAGAACTTCAGAGTGTGATGTCAGTTCACTCCACCTTAATTTTTTCTGTTATTTTAAATCTTCATTGTTTTACAATATTCTTTGCAGCCCTCTAAACTCACATTGCATGAAAAGTTCTTCACTCACCCTCCATTGCTGCCGGGGGAACAGATAGTTTCCCAGCAAGATCAAGTGACCTGTGTTGACACCTTTAATGATGTTGCTGAAGGGATTCTCCATATCACCACATACAGGATTATCTTTGCTGGCTGTTATGCCCAGGTATTGAAATATTCTCATATAGTGTAATGGAAACTTGGATAGGTGGTATACAGGCTGAACAAGTTTTTTGTTCAATTATTGAAATAAAAATATAAGCATAAATTCACATGAATTAGTGTAATTTTTTCAATTTTTGTTGTATGTAGTCCTATTTAGAACAAGGAGAATATGAATATTTAGAAGCTGAACCCGAGGAAGTGGCAAGGCGAGGACATTACTATCAAACCCGTTCTAGAAAGACGTCTTTTGGTCCCCGTGCAAAATTGCACAATGCCAGGAGTTGTGATGACGCAGAAACCAAGCAGATGAAAAGGTATACAAACTGCATATTTATTCTGCAGCCCTGAAAAAACAAAAAATGAAAGTAAGAAAAGGAGCATACAGTAGAAATTATCCCGTTAAATTGAACTCTAAATGGAAACAACAAAAAAATGAGTTAGTTGGGTTTCAAGTGAATGGGGTCGATTGCAAAAATGAAATTCAATTTGCCATGTTACAAATTGATAGTTACTGATTTTTCTGCACTTCAGTGTATGGTGCAGTGCGAATTTAACTTATTTCATCAGAAATGGTAACACGATTAGGCATTGTTTATGGTAAAACTTGATCAGTTCGTTTCACTAATTAAAATGAATTAGAAATTGATGTAGTGTTGACCAACGTTAGTTTTAGTGTTTTTGCGGGTGTTAACCTCTCAGGGGAGGATAACATTGGGTGGTACAAAATGAATAATAGTTAATGGGATGACATCCGACCAGAGTAACAAGAATAAGAATTTGATTTATGAGGGTAAATTTCAATGAATTTTTTATCAAGCTTGAGTTAGGGGAGAATTCAAGTCACCCGAGTTTGAGTTAACCAAGTGAAAATTACTGAAGAGTGGGGTAAAATCCATGGGAAATTAGACTTAATTCGAGTTAGTGGGGAGTTTGAGTTATTCAAGTTCGAGTTATCGGGGTTCTACTCTACTTGTAAACCTGTTCTTGAGAATGATATGCTATAATTGTATTGTTTGTTGTACATGTTTACTGGTCTATGCAGAAACCAGTACATTAAAGTTATAATTAATTTATTGAGTTTCTTATATGCACATAGAAGGAGTAAAATCTAATGCCGTAAGGTCATGTACATATTAAAGCCATTACATTTTCATTTTTTCTAGTTTTGTGAGAGAAATCAGAAAACTATGATCAGTTCACGAAATAATATTTAATAGGAATATGTTGCTTGTACATTAATTTGACCAAACTTATTATTGTTGTTGTTCTCAGTTACTTCTTCTTTTGCTTTATGTACTTTTTTCCTCACATTCCTTTGTTCATTGATGTTTCTGAGCTTTGTTGGTGCTCAAAAGTGCTTTGTACTGTTAGTCACTGCATCCCTAAAGTGTGGAGATATTTGCACAAAACAATCTAACTGCCAAAAAAAAAGCAAACATTGATGGGAAGCTGTCTCAATTAAAAGCTTCCAGAATTTCACATACATGCTATTGTGGCCTTGTATTTAGCAAAGTCCTTCAGATCTAATTCAAATATTTTTCCTTATGTCTAAAGGTTATCTGCACACAATCTGTCCAAAAGAGTCAAAGGAGCCAGTGGAATCGTTAGAGGGGTGAGACATTCTCAGTCCATGATAAGAAAAACTCCCACAGTTGCTGCTCTTCCTGGTTTGGCTGATCAGAGCCTGAAACTCCAAACTCTGAGACCCGTACATATTTTATCAAACATTGAACATGTTGGTGAGTTTTTGTACTTGTATTTACAGGTAGCTATTGCTGGTTTGCATGTGACCTCAGGACAGCTGTATTGGTGGTCAAGAAAAAAAGCTTTTCTCCCTGCTGGAAGCTGACCTCTGATGTAAGATATATATACCCTTACAGAGATTTTGCCAGCTGGTCGGACAATGCCCAAAAGTAGACTTCTCTGATTGCCATTATTTATATTCAGAAGTCAGCCCCAGCAGAGGTGTGAAAGGAAAGATTGAAGCAAACTTAAGTTCATTCTGTTTCTCTCTTGCAGACCATGATTATGAAATTGTGGCATCCATTCCTTTAGCAAGTATATGTGATGTAAAAAAGTTTTCCAGGAAGAACATGCCTAAAGACAAGCAAATGTTTTTAATGGATGGATTTGAAGTCTTCTGTAGTAATATTCAGTCATATAGGGTATGAAAAGCTAATGTTTGAGCTCTCAGAAGCTGTGTAGTTAATTTTGAAGTAATTACACACAGGATAACAATTTGAGTTTCACCCCTTAAATGTGTGTTGAAAATCTTGTGAGTTTCCAACATGTGCTTTGAATGCCGGTAACATTAAAGTCAAGAGCAGCTTTTAGCACTGTACATACATGAAGTAGATGATTGGCACATATCATAACTATTTTGATAGTTTGTTTATGGTAGAGATTAATAGGGATAATCTGACCAATAGGACTGTGAATTGTAAATTATTTAAACGTATGAGTCTTTTACTGTGCTGAGTGAGAATGTAAAGAATTGTTTTGTTTTGTACATGTTTAAGACCAAAGTCAAAGACTATGTGATTAAGAAACAGTTGTAATAGTTGTAGTTCATATCAGTTCATAAATCAGGAAGTCCGCCCTCTGATATTACTTACTACTATTTAGAATACAGCGGAAATCATCTAAAAGCTCACCAGAGCTTGCTTGATCTCCTGCCTTGTAATAATGTAATACTGTAAAATTCCGAAAATAAGCCCCGGGGCTTATATTTTTCAAAGGCCCTTTTTGAGAAGCTTATTTTTGGAGGGGCTTATATTCGGAGGGGCTTATCTATGGAGGGAAATTTGCGTTTCAAAATCGATTGGGCTAGCCTTATAGTTAGAAGTGAATTTACCATTTTTGCTTTGTTTTACTTTGTATTTGAGGGCAATTTAGCAAGTGCAAGTCCCCGGGGGGCTTATATTTGGAGGAGCTAATTAACGGAAGGTTGTTTGCGTTACCAGTTCGGGGGGCTTATATTTGGAGGGGCTTGTACATGGAGGGACTTATTTTCGGAATTTTATGGTAGGTTATGTTTATGAATGTATGGTAAATAAAGGCACTTCTTCTTCTTTGTTTCAGTTCTGTTTAGGTCTTCAGAGTACTAGTGATGCTGAAACTGTAATCAAAACTATTCATCTTCATTCCAAAAGAGTAAGCCACATAATTTACAGAGCAGGGTATCATTAATGATGTGCAAAAAAATATATTGGTTGAATAATGAATATTAGTTTGGAACCTCGTCGTCATCATCAATGTCATCATCATCATCATCATAATCATTGTCTTGTCTCTGTCGTCATTGCCGTTGTTGCTGTCGTCATCATCATCATTATCGTTGTCATCATCACCATCATCATCTTCATTGTTGTTGTTGTTGTTGTTGTTGTTGTTGTTGTTGTCTTCATCGTTATCATCATCATCATCATCATCATCATCATCATCATCATACTTTGTGTTGTGTGTTTTATCTTTCTTCTGTTTCAAGGCCATCTCACTTGTCAGAATTAAATATTTACCCATAACAGGGCCCCTCTCATAAGTTGCACAAGATGCTACAAGCCTCCAGAAGTTGAATCTGGAGGTGACATGTACACTGTGCATAAAATGTAACTCATGGTTCCTGAATTTATCTGGTTTTTTTTGCAGGGGTTTCCTAAGTTATTTTCCTTTATTCACAAGACTGCTATTCTGCTGCCTAAGTCATGCGATATTTTAGACAGGAGAGATGCTCCTAACTTCTACGATTTTAAATGTAAGTAAAATGGTCAGGCAAGGTGTTCTTGTTACAGAGTATCTGAACAGGTAGTATTGAAATGACGAAAATGTCAGAGAAAATTAAACTATTCAGAGAGTGAAGTTCTGATCAAACTCATTCAATTATTGCTTATGAAAAGTTGAGCACTTTCTGAAATCCATTCCTTAAGTGAAAATAGAATAATATTGTATGTTACACATTGTTTTACTTTGCGGTATCTGTTCAAGATCTCTTTACTTAATTAATAAGGTTTTTGTGACAATCCTAATTAGCGCAGGCAGTAACTTCTTTTTATGAGTTAGGGATCATGTAACACCAAGATTGAGAGATTGATACAAATCTTGATTGAAAGCCCCCATCATTTCCTTTCATGCACTACAGTTTCATGTGTGAATAAATAGTCTTACAAAGGTTATGGCAGAGTTACCTTTCATCATAAATAAGTCAATATTGTGCTTGATCCTTTGTAGCAGAATGTGACAGATTAAAGCTGTTTCACACAGACAACTGGAGGATATCTGGTAAGTGTTATTTTTTATTCTCAGTGAAGTAAAAGTTAGCTGTACTCTTTATTAGGAAGTACATTAGTCTGTATTGAGTGGATGTTGCTGTTGTACTCAACATCACATGGCTTCTTTTCATCTAACTATCAAAATCTTCATCACCTCACTGTATCTGCCTTATAAGCTTTCAAGAAGCTTTCGCTTCACAGCCTGGTCTGAGTTTGCCTAAACCTGTTCAATGTGTCATGTTGATTTATACCTGCACTGTAGCTGTTCAAAAGATGAATAATGCTATTCACTGGTTAAATCTTTTATCCACTGGGTAACGCAGTTGGTTTTCTTAATACTTATTCAGTGTATGGTGATTTATCCAGTGCATATTGCTATCCACTTTTTGAACAACTGGGCCCAATTGTTCGAAGGCCGATTAGCGCTAACCCGGGTTAACTTTTAACCTCGGTTTTTTTTTTCTTTTGATCAAAAGCATTTTCCCGGATAATTTTCTCTTTTCTTTTTAGAGCATCCGATCATCAAATTGTAGGCAAAAAGAATAAAACTGAATTTGCTTTTTAAGCTTTCGTATCTGAATTCAAATTTCGCACTAACCCTGGGTTATCTTAACCCTGCTTTGAACAACAGGCCCTGGCTAGTACAATAAATTTGTAATGTTATTGTGTTCTTTTAGGAGAGAATCATCCATTGCAATACCCTATGAAGACAGTTATCCCTTTATCGGTGACAAATGAGGAACTAACTGAGGTGGCCAAGTATCACAGGTAAAATCTTAATTATATCCTGATCGAGCTGCATGTCATAAGACCAGAGAAGTAAGGGTCAATATGGAAATATGATTGTGTGCTTTTCTGGATTTTTTCATCTTCAGAGAGGGCTGTTTTCCAGCTGTATGTTGGAGACACCAGGAAAGTGGTGCAGTTTTATTAAGATCTTCAGCCGCTCAATTTAGAAGGTATGTGAAATATTTATTATTATTATTATTATTATTATTATTGTTATTATTGTCTTATTTTAATAACAAGTGCAGTCAAAACGTGTTATAATACGTTTCAACCGTTCTGTGATTCTTCTAAAAATCATACCCCGGCTGAAAAACCATACCGCGGCGGCACATAGCCCCGGCAAATAGCTATAAAGCCTGGAACTTAACAGTTTCAAGTTACATGTATTTGGATGAAGCATGTACTAGTTAGGTTTTTTCCACTTCAAATAAACATTAACTTGCCTTTTTTATATGGGGGAGTACCTCCCCACCGTGGACTGCCTTGATTTCGCCATAAATATCTTATCCCAATAAGCTCATCCCGGGTTTCCGAGGGTAAATGAGCATAAGAGAGCAGACGGTTTACGGTAAAGTCGCCCGACGTGGCGGTCGCCCGAAATGTTTTAGTCAAGTCCCCCGAAATGCTGGCTCGAAATTGTGTCATACTCAACGACATTGTTGCATCCTTACTACCATTTACCACGCTTGTTTCGTCTCATCGAAGAATAAAGAACGAGATACCTCTTGTTTCGTGTCATGATAGTAATAAGAACGAGCCGTATTTAAAAACACAAATTTAAGTTTGTTTCTCTGTGCACTTCACCTGGTAAAATTCGGGCGACATGAGTCTGCATTTCAGGCGACTTAACTCGGATTTTGGGCGACAAAACTTCGGGCTAGATGACTTTTGGGGCGACTTGGCCGGTTACCGAGTAGACAGGCGTTATTGGTTTCTTTACTGACTTTATGATAAGGACACATTTTATGGTGTATCGGGTCGTTTCGCCCGATGGCAGTTCGCCCAGACCTAGTCGATTCGCCCGATGTGTTATGTATTTGTCGTTCTTTAAGCCTGAGAAAAAGGAATAAGCATGGAAAGACAGTGACTGCACATGTGGAATCAAAGTTTAACTAAAATAACATCTCGGAGAACTAGGTTCACCATGTTGTAGAGTGTTGTATGTCATCGGGAGAATCTACTTAAGTCCTAGCGAACGCCTTTGGGCGAATTGACTTTCGGGCGAAACGACCGCAATTCATTTATGGTCCTGGCAGCGTTGTAACTGTACAATGAACGGTCATTTTTCCTTTATGTTACCCAGAGGATTGAGAGACTCAAGATGCCAGGCTGATGAAAAGTACCTTATAGCTGTCAGTTCATGCAGCGAGGCCGCCACCAACAAGCTTGTGGTTTTTACAGAGCAGTATGTGTTTCTTTGTCATTTTTTATTGATTCTGAAACTAATTCATATTATCAGGGCTTAATAATTTTGTTTACTGCATGAACTTACATAATCGAATGTGATGGACCGGAGAGCACTATAATCAACTTAATTCTCACACTTTATCCCCAAAGCCGCGTTTTCAAAAAGATGGTAGGACAGGGGAATATTTGATGAGGTGATATTTGGTAAAGAAATACCAGAAAGTGTCAAATGTTTTTTAAAAAAACATAAACTTTTCGGGTTTATGACCCTTCTTCAGTGGGAGAAAAACCGTTGCCAGGTGAATATCTGTCTTGGTTCAGATGATGGTCCATGACAAGCCTTTCGTCTTGTCTCCTTCATCATCCTCCTATTATAAGAAAACGCAAAAGTACCATGGAACACCACTGTTCGGAAATAACGTGAAAAGTTCGTGGGAGGTTTGGTATGTCGCTACCTCTCTGTTATACATCTACATCACCTCACATCATATATATTTGACTGATTTAGCAACAGCACGGGAGCGTCGTTTGACGACAGGAAAGCGAGCGGAAAGGACTAAACTCGACTTCTGGTGCCCAATTTGCCGCTCAGCCATTGGTCAAGCCAGTTGTTTGATTTGCGCGCGCCGTCGTCAACTGACGTTCCCGTTCTGTTGCTAAATCAGCCTATTATACGTGGGGTGAGTGACAGTAAGATCATAAGTAGACCCATAGCGTTAGTTAAGAGGACACGGTGCACTGTTGTCCTCTAATCTTTTACGAGATACAGTCCAATTACAATAACTATAGCTTTTCGTTTGCTTTCTCAGAGTTCGGCAGTTTGGGGGTGGTTTACTTAACTCTTCTCAGACACAGATGACGGGACAGCTTACTCCAGAAGAAGGCGAAAGTGTGTAAATAGACTGTACTGAAAACTTGTATGCTCTATCATATTTGATATACTCACTGAAAACTACGCGCTCTGTGTTTTTTCTTTGCCTATAATCTGTTTGAGTACAGAGGCCTTCTTTGGGGGAAGGGGGTTTGTATGTCCTTAGCCTGAATTTTAAACCTTTCATTTCGCGGCGTATTAAAGAGGAAGCCTTGTCCCTCTAGATATTTTACTATTGTATCTGCGATTGTCCTTGTTAGTGACGCCTCGTGTCGTTTGTCGTCATTTCAGCTGTATTTTGTCACTGTCTCAAGGCCCGGATGTCGCTTGTCGAATTTTACCCAATCAGGGCCTCAGAAGAGACATACGGATGACGTCACGGGAAAATTGTGTTGTTTGTTTTGAGCAATATGGCGCACAGTTTTGTGCATGTAGGTACATTTTTCGTGATTATTACAAACTGAACAGTGAAGGCCTCCAAAAGATTAAGCAGGAGTTGTTGATAAGTAAGAGAAAGAAAAAAAAGACAGACATCAAAGTATTCTTGGTGACTTGAAAATGCCCCCTGTACTTACTATTTTTCAGTTCATAATGAGGAGTATTTTCACTGCACAGCATTTTCAAAGTTTAACATTTACCGTGAATATTATTCTTGCAGCCTTCTTTTATCCGAACACCAAATTCATATACGCTGATGCTTTACCTGATTTTAAAGCAGTCAAACAGAGTGCGTACAAGCTACAAGCGGTGCTTTCAAATAGAGGGTAGGTATTTTGTCATTAGATCAACAATTCGTCACTTTTGAATCGAGATGGAAAGTGGGACGAGTTAACTTTCTCAAAGACTTCTGGAACTGTTACTAAGACAGGGAAAAAAATTGGCCAATAGCTGACCGGCACGTTTCCGGTAACGATCCCGCAAACAATAGCGGGACACATTCCGGCTCCAGTTTTTCGCCTTTGAAGGGGCGAATGTTATTTGGTTCATCCTCGGTTGTTTTGGCTGAATACTAAAAATATGCACCATACTCGAATCATCATTCGGTTCATCCTCGGTTGTTTTGGCTGAATACTAAAAATATGCACCATACTCGAATCATCATTCGTCTCGATGGCGTCGTTTCTGCTAGACTTGTGATTTAATGGACTTACAAATAAGCGACGCCCTGGCAAAATGGCCGTATCAAAAAGCATTATGATTTTGATAGAAGCGCCGCGTTGTTTTTTGGGTCGAGTATTTGAAGTAAGGTAGCCACTTGTCAGGGTAAGCTGCGATAGGCCTGGGATTGTGCAGTTGTACCAACACCCCCCCCCCCCCCCCCCCCCCCCCCCAC